CTGTGAGTGTCGCGAGACACTCTCCAGTATAGCTCAATGGATCGCTAAGGTGCGCAAACCGTCACACCATGGTAAGGTCCAGTCTCTTCGTGACGGGCTAGTCGGTTGGTTTCTTTAATGAAGAACTAAATTCAAGTCAATACGACCTGATACCAATAATAAGGCCATTCAACTCTATGCATATCCGGTACCTAAGATTAGGTAAAAATGTATGCGTGTGGGGGCGGGTCGGTGGTGAGAGGAACAAACCTGCTAAGTGTGACTAAAATACATGCGGCGAACAAGCTACCATGAACGAGCAGCAGCATACCCATTGTAGCTCAACCAGGTGGCTTCCCATAAAGGGCCACAAATGTCCAGTGAGGGCAGTGCGACTAACATTGGGATGGGACGTTGACAGATGGATCATGATCGTGTTCATCCATATAAGATCCCCGCTCTTGATATAGCGTGTTTCAATTGTTTGTCACTGGGTTGTTCTCAACGAATGGAGTAGCTCATACATTCCCCGCTTGACCTGCATCGAGACACCGATGGTTAGGCACCAATTTCTTGTTCTCCTCTGCGCCCATAGACCAGGTTTCTGATCCACGAAGCAATATGGATCGCACCGCTGCAGTGTATACTTACCTCGACAGCTAAAGTGACGTCACGTCGGCGCCATGGTTGTCGGAGATCGGCTAAAGCTTTCCTGGCCTTCTCGGTTTATTCAATCTACCGGTACTTGCACAGCTGTCCAGGTAGACAAATTTGTCCACCACGTCGACTGGTTGACCTGCAAAAGGTAAGAGTTTGATCCCACCCAGTTTTATCACTTATTAGTTTGCAGGTATGAAGAGCATGCATAGCCGTGCAGCAGAATTTAGATTATTTAGAATGAATTGCATCTTCAAGGGATAAAACCAGGGATGGAAAATTCGTCTGTGTACTCAGTATCTGTGAACGAACGTCCCGGGAGCATTTTGACTCCTGAGGTTTCGGAGGCAGGCAGAGAAACTTTAATCATCACGTCAATAACAAAGCTGAAGAGGAAAGGCGAAAAGGCAGTCTCGCCTT